GGAAAGAGAATTAAATCAGTGGTGTAATGTTTGGATTAGACCTCAATCTCTCTCAGTTTGAAGCTTTGAAGAAAATATCTCTGCCAATTTGTAGTTATGACTAAATTGGGGCCTCGTTTCTGCCACTGCTGCTCTGAGCAGGCTCTCCTTCCTCTGGGGGCTGCTCAGGGCTTTGGCAGCAAGGCCAAAAGTGACCCAACACTGAACCTTTTTCCAGATTCTGATTATAGACTCTATGGCAAGTTGAGAGAACAGCACAAGTCCCAGCAAACAGCAAATTAGAGGCTTCTAGCCAAAGGAAAGGAAAAGTCCCACTGCTCAGTGCAATGCCTTGTTCTGTTGGGCTGTGGAGTTAGAGATGCTCTAGGGTCAGTCACTCCTCACAGCAATCCCTCCTTGGCTCTGGAAAGATTGTCATCCTCTAGGTCCTGCATATGGGCAGAGATTGGATTGGGAGCAGCCCTGGGGAAAAGGACTTGGGGTGCAGGTGGGTGAGAGGTTGGACATGTCCCAGCCCAGAACACAACTGTGTCCTGGGCTCACCCCACAGTGTGGGCAGCAGGTGAGGAGGGAATTATGTCCCTCTGCTCAGGGGAGATATCAAATGCAGTGCTGCCTCAGCTCTGGGGCACCAACATCAGGAGGGTGTGGAGCTGCTGGAGCAAGTCCAGAGCTCATGGAGATGCTCCCAGGGCTGGAGCCAGGCTGGGAGAGTTGGGAATGTCCAGTCTGGAGAAGAGAAGCTCCAGGGAGACCTCAGAGCCCCTTCCAGTGCCTCAAGGGGCTCCAGGAGAGCTGCAGAGGGACTTGGGACAAGGGATGGAGGGACAGGACACAGGGAGTGGCTTCCCACTGCCAGAGGGCAGGGACAGATGGGATATTGGGAAGGAATTCCTCCCTGGGAGGGTGGTGAGACACTGGCACAGGTTGCCCAGAGCAGCTGTGGCTGCTCCATCCCTGGGAGTGTTCCAGGCCAGGTTGGATGGAGCTTGGAGCAACCTGGGCTGGTGGAATGTGTCCCTGCCCATGGAATAAGATGATTTCTAAGATCCTTCCAACCCAAAAACATTCCCTGATTTTATGATTTTTTTGCTTTGGCTCCAGAAACCTAAATGCAGTTAATCTATATTTTTGGCTCTTACCCAGTTTGGAAAGGAAACATGAAAGATGTTCTTACCTCATCTCTCTCTCTTCATGCTGTGCAATGAGGTTGCTGTAGAAGTTTTCTAAGGTCACCTTTGTCATTGTCACTCTCTCCTTGGTGTGGTTACTCATGGACGAGCACGGCGTGGGGCCTGTCATGGCCATGGCTGTGAGGAAAGAGAAAGGGAGGAAACATTTCACACTAGAACTGACAAATCACCTCCAAACAAGCACTGCAATCATTTAAGTGATGCTGAATCACAGAGTTCAGGTTTGAAGGACAAATATTACCAGTTGAAGCTCAGGCTAAGTAGGGAAAAGTCTTACAAAATAAAAGGTACGAGTCAAACTTCCTGTTTTGAACCTACTTGATCTGAAAATAAGAGGGAAGGAAACTTAAGAAAGGCAGTGCCTCAAAACCACAGTTTCAGCCCCTACTGCAAGTGTTTATTGCTCCCCATATGTTCTACCTTTAATAAATGTTCACAACTCAGGAATATCCCACTGAAACATCTCATCCAGGAGCTTATTCCTGTGACCTCTGCAGAAATAACTCCATCACTGCTTGTTGGTTCCTCTGCTCTGAAATCCACCTAACCCTGAAAGTCATCCCAGGAACACAGCAACTGAGGAAGGAGCAAAAAAATAGGCATTTAGTTGCCTTTAAGCACTTTTCTTAGATGTTTCCACACAGAGATTTGGCAAACCCAGAGCACCATTGCCTTTGAACAAGGTGTAGTTTAAACAATACCCAATAAACCAACCCCTAGTCTAAGTATCCTACAGATTTATTTCTTCTTCTCAGAAAACATTCATGTTTTCATTTCTATTTCTGATGTAAATATCAGAGTGTGCCACCCCTGACCTGCAGCAGATTCAGGGCACATTTCAGACCCCAGTTCTACCTTTCCAAATGCATCAAACCCCCAAGATTTCAGGTGTACAACTCCTTCTTTGCCCAATTCTCCTGGGGCACCACATAACTCACAGCAAGGTAAGAGTTTTGCAACTGTTACTAGAAATTGCAGGCAAATAGAGGTGAGACACAAACTTCCCCTTTGTACAACCCTAAGTGCTGCCAGCACGTCCTGAGTGACTCTTTCTGTTCACTTTTTGCAGCTGTTTAGGAGGTGTCACCACTGAGCCCCGGCAAACCACCTCCTTCACAGCCACCAGCGACTCCTGTGCTGCCTCTAGAGCTTCCTCCAGAACAGGGAATGCCATGGGAGCCAGCTGGGTGGGTTTTAGGATAGAGGTGAGACCTTTTTTTGGGTCTCCGAGGAACACCGAAATGGGTTGTCACATCCTCCAACTCCTGGGGATGGGGTGTTACCCCGCGAGGGAGGTGTGAAAGCCATGAACGCTTCTCACTTCCTAGAGATCAAAACAGGAAAACGATCTGACAGAAGCGAAGGGGAGAAAAAAGGGAAGGGGAAGAACAGACAAAAGTAGCAGCGCCAAACCACCTGTTGGTGCTCGGGGCCCTTCCCACGGGGGTGGGCGCTCCGAGCCCCCCGGGGATGGAGCTGGATGCTCTGCCGGGGGAGGAGGCTCCAGGG